CAAACACAACGTTTGGACGGTTGTGTTAATTAGCAAAGATTTGTATTTAATGTACGTATCCATTTCGTGCCCTTAAAACCACAGATATAGGTTTTTTCAGCGAAAAACGCGGCTGACATAATCCATATCGTACAGGCTTCGCGACTTTTGAATCACAAAGCTAAGCACGGCGAGCGCGAGCGCATTATGGGCGCGCCCGGCGTGCAATCTTCGAAATGCCCGCGCAGTACGCTGTGAATAGCCATTCAGTGTCATTTACGTCATCATAACAGCCAGGGGTTAGTGTAAGGAACGAGCACGCGCCCCTGGAGTCGAGGCTGAATTAGGGCTGAAGTTTATCCGTTTTACGTGCCGACGCAATCTTTAAAATGTTAAAAGTTGTGATTTTGAAGAATCAATCCTTTCCACAACGTTTGATTGGTTGGATTTTGCGTGACCAGTGACCTGCGCGCCACCAAGGTCTTGACTCTGCATAGTCTGGTTCCCAGACCTGACAATTATTCCCGACGCTCACGTCTTAAATTGTAGGTCAGGCCAACCTCGTCCCCAGTGCTTACTTTATTTCCAACCGCGTTTCCAATAGTAAACCCTGGATAGGAAACTTTCTTCCTGTATCCTGATTGGATACCGCAATTGGCTAGTAATGGATTTTTATCGTGTTCTTGGTGCTATTATTCACAACGTGCAGTACGTGTTTTCGCGATCATTCGTCCACGTCTTCTCGAAAATACTAATTTCCTTTCCAATTTGCTCATATTAATATGAAATGTGATACTGCATGTTGTCTCGATACGATCGTAACAGTTTGATTTCAAAAATCGTGTTTTCGTAACTCACGCTGTGCTCGCGCTGCTACGAATTGACTCTGTTTTTACCCAGACACCGCATACAAAAACAAACGCTAATGTGTAACGCATATCCAGGCACTATACTGTTCCTCATTTGCATACGTGTTTAAAAATCTTGCACATGCAAATGATCCTGTAGCGTTTTTTTCCATATAATTATAGCTTAATCTGTGAACTTTTTACCCCTCGTACATTGCCCCCAGCAACAGTCCAGTGGTGGATAAAAGTTATGACCCTATGGTATCAATCTCCCTAATTGATTGATTACTATTTCTGAGCCAGGCCCCACTTTTATTACTTTGTCCCTCTTACCACATTTTATCACCTAACCACAAAGTCCATTAGTACATTCCTTCAGTCTCTAGTTTTTATTGCTTTTAAATTGGATAGTCAGCCCCACCTTACTTATTAGATTCTTCACTCACTCTCCTTTATTACTTTCTTCGCTCACTCTTCTTTCAACCATCAAACGAGACACATGTCTCCAAATCCTCTCTTGTAAATACGGTAGTCTAGTTGTTCGATTGTTAGAATAAAGTTGCTGTACGACCAACATCGTGTGTATTCCATTATTCCATCAACCAAAACCCAAAACTCCAATACCAGGGTGACCGGTGAGAGAGCAGCTAGTGGTGGGCGCGTATTGCTCGACACCCTGGGGACGAGGTTGGTGAAGCTCATCAGAGTATCCCAGCGCTGTTTGCGGGGGGGGGGGGGGGGGGGGTACGGTACGAGCGAACAGCCACAGCTGGGCCCAATTTCATAAAGCACGAAAAAACATTGCTTAGTAAAATTAGGTTACCGGCCAAAACTCCATGTGATGTACATTGCTTGTTACTGGTATTTAGCTGTTGTTTACTTAGCATAACAATCTCATGGAGTTTTGGCCGGTAACCTGATTTTATTAAGCAAGACTTTTTTGTGCTTAAGCAAATTTTGTGCTTAAGCAGCTCTATGAAATTGGCCCCTGGTTGGACCATGGAGGAAGGAATAGTCCAGTAAGCACCGCCCCATGGCATGTTCTGACCAATCACAGCCGTTGTCACATGAAAATCCGTCTCCTATGAAAATCGGACCCCTTTTCCCTATTATTGGTTAATCCCTCTCACGTGACCGGTCACTTTCCTAATTACCATACATACGCATGCGCGGTATTACCAATGAGTCCGAATTTCATAGAAACGTAAATTCACACTACACCGTGATTTATGTCCGACGTGCGTGCACAGAAGTCCGACATGCGTGCACGCGCATATGATGCGCGCGGCAGGAAAATGCAGCGTGGCATATGCATTGGTACGAAAGCCCTGTAGTGCCATCAAGTATATATTTCGCCAAGTTCGTTTTTATGAGTTTATGAGTTATATATTTCGCCAAGTTCGTTTTTATGAGTTATATATTTCGCCAAGTTCGTTTTTATGAGTTATATATTTCGCCAAGTTCGTTTTTATGAGTTATATATTTCCCCAAGTTTGTTTTTATGACTTATATATTTCGCCAAGTTCGTTTTTATGAGTTATATATTTCGCCGTTATATATTTCGCCAAGTTCGTTTTTATGAGATATATTTTACAGAGTTACGGAGTTTTATGAAGTTACGGAGCCCCTAAAGGGACATCCAAAATTATTTTCTTATCTCGTGCGCACGACATAATATCTCGTGCGCACGAGATAATTATCACGTGCATACGAGATAATTATAAGTATTAACGGAGCTTGCTGCACGTGCAGCGGACGAGTTTGTGTGTAACGAAAGCAGCGTGTCAGGTACGGAGCCCCTAAAGGAACATCCAAAATTATTTTTTTATCTCTTGCGCACGACATACTATCTCGTGCGCACGACATATATCTCGTGCGCACGACATGCACAAGCTCCGTTAATGCTTATAATTATCTCGTGCGCACGAGATATATGTCGTGCGCACGTGATAATTATCTCGTGCGCACGAGATATTATGTCGTGCGCACGAGATATATGTCGTGCGCACGAGATATATGTCGTGTGCACGTGATAATTATCTCGTGCGCACGAGATATTATGTCGTGCGCACGTGATATATGTCGTGCGCCAGTGATAATTATCTCGTGCGCACGAGATATTATGTCGTGCGCACGAGATAAAAAAATAATTTTGGATGTCCCTTTAGGGGCTCCGTAACTTCATAAAACTCCGTAATTCCGTAAAATATATCTCATAAAAACGAACTTCGTGAAAATGTATCTCATAAAAACGAACTTCGAGAAAATGTATCTCATAAAAACGAACTTTGGGAAATATATAACTCATAAAAACGAACTTGGCGAAATATATAACTCATAAAAACGAACTTGGCGAAATATATAACTCATAAAAACGAACTTGGCAAAATATATAACTTATAAAAACGAACTTGGTGAAATATATAACTCATAAAAACGAACTTGGACAAATATATAACTCATAAAAACGAACTTGGCGAAATATATAAGTAAAACGAACTTGGCGAAATATATAACTCATAAAAACGAACTTGGACAAAATATATACTTAATGGCACTACAGGGCTTTCGTACATTGGAGAGGAGCACGTGGTAATTTGCCCACGTGCGCAGTCATGTGGGCGGGGCTTACTGGGTCGTCCATTTGTACACGCGCCTGCTGCAATCACTTCCATCCCATAGACATTATGTGTGTTGCTTTCTAGCTGTAGCCAAGTACATGTGTAATTCGAACGCGGCCGATTCGAATCGGGGAAAACCCTTCAAGACACTGTCATGATTTGTTATTGCCCAATCTGGAACTGGATTCCGAGAATGTTCTGGAAGCCTTTTCGTCACCACCGGATCTATTATAGTATTAACTTCCTGTCTTAACTTCCGGTTAGTATTGTGACGATGATGTTTTCCTCTGTCTGTGGCGAGGGATTTTCTGAGTAATTGCTCTGATCTGAGTCTGTCACTAGTAGTACTGGTAGTGTATATTGAGACTTAAAATTAAGATAGATGATGGATGTTCGCGTTAAAGGTATGTACATGTAGGCCTATAGCCCCATAAATGTGGCCAATTTACTGGACTACCTCCGTAAACATAGGCCATACATCCACCATGTACAAAAACATGTCGAACTTTGTCAAATTTTGATTTTCACATTTAGGCTTAGGCTTAGTTTGTACTAGTTGTTGTTTTTTTTGCTTGAGAAGCATACTCACCCTCTTTATACATGTTATAGGCTAATCAGCTATCAGAAAGTGCTGCCTTTTCCGGATGTCCAATTTTCATGAAATCTCATGTTGAAATTTTAATGATAGTGGATATTTTGCCCGAGGTAATGACGGCAAACTAACGTTTACTAAAGGTTTGCCGGCGGCAATCCATATCAACAGAGGGCGCTGTACTTTTTAAGATAGGGCTGAATTATAAGATGTATTAAATTCCCACCAAAAGTTGTGTAGCTCTTTTGGTGTAATGGTTTTAAAAAAGCAAAACCTGTAGTATAGTATCAGAGCGGGATGACTCGGGTTCGATCCCGATCCCCGCCACATTTTTAAGGGTTTTTTTCCCATCCTCAAATAAATAAGAATATTCTTCTTTTATTATTTTAACATGTCTCAAACATTTTATTGCAGAGTATTACATTTTCTTTTTCAGATTTGTGGCTCTGGAGGATTTTTTTTAAAAGGGAAGTAAAGTCCGAAATTATAAAATGCATAAAATGGTCTGAATCCCATCTTGTGAATACGAGGTTACAACGATAATATTGGCATGGAGTCAGACTAAAATTTGTCACCGGAAAATGTTTTTAAGTACAAAAAAAACAGTAACTGCGCATGTTCAGTGCATATCCGGCAAACTAACGTTTACTAAAGGTTTGCCATCTCCGGCAAAATATCCACTGCCAATTTTAATACGCAAACGTGTGCAAACGAATCTGGAAATTTCACGAAAAATAGACATCTGAAAAAGGCAGCACTTTCTGATTGGCCTATAAAGAGGGCGAGTACGCTTCTTAAGCAAAAAAAAACCCTACAAATTAAGCCTAAATGTGAAAATCAAATTTTGACAAAGTTCGACATGTTTTTGTAGGCCTACATCACTGAGTACATGGTGTACTTTGCTTGTGTAAGATCTTAGTGAATTGAGAGAAATGTTTCTTCCCTCTTGTTTTCATTCAGTTCGGATTTGCCACAGCCGTCCCCCCTCATGGCTGTGGTGGCTGGTATTCTGTGCCTGTTTTCTACAGTCTACGTCACTGCCTGTTTCAAATCAAAATGAACCAAGTAAGTAACCAGTGTAAAGAAGGCCCGTAATGAACTTGGAAAAAAGTATCCTCAGAAGTACATAGGGCCTATATATTTCATTCCAGAGTTTTAAAAATTATTTTTGTTTACTTCAAAAACTTGTTAAATGCACAGTATTATACATGTATGTGACGTGACTTGACCTGTCACCACTAAATGAGCAAAAAATCAGAAGCAGCCATTTTGCAGTACAGAGAGGCAAAGCCAACATTTGAAGTGCGGTACTTTTTGTACCACCTGATTTAAAAAAGGACTTTTCATCAACTAGCATGGACTACAACAGCGGAATTTTTTGACATTGTCATTTTCTCAAAAATTACCTGCAGTCTACATTTGTACATGTATACAATGTATTTCCTTTTCTGAACTCAGTTACATGTAGCCTGTAGGCCTGCCATCAGAATGTTGTTGTTCTGCAGAATCCAGATATAAAAGTTTAATATCAATTCTATAAAAAACATCAGACTTATCATGCTCATATTGTTGTGTGGGTCCCATTGTTTATCTCTGTTCATTTGATAGTGCTAGTGATATTTTTTTTTTAGTATTTTGAGGCGTTTAACACATTGCAAGTTGTACAATTTAAGAAGTGGATGGTTTTTTAAATGTTATTCTGTTTATGTACATTAGTACGTATGTAAACTTCACTCACCAAATTGTTGTCGTATTAGTTTTTCCCTTGTTTTTTCCCCTGAATGGAACTGTAGGTGATGAAGACAAAAGATGTTTTTCCACATTTGGCTCCAAATACGTATATGAGGAGGTACAGGGGGTGTGTGTCCCATGCCGCACCTGCGAGTGTGGTTACATTGCAACGAATCCACACTGCGTGAAGTGCGTAGGTAGGTCTCGCCTTTCGCAATGGTTAAACAAAGCAAACACTTATCCAGGCAAGAACCACTCCAGATTGTAAGTTGCAGTTCATCATTTGAAAGACATGTACTGGGTTGCAAGACCTACTATTGGAGAATTTCATGCCAAAATTACAGAACTTTACTTTTATTATATCACACCGTAAACAACGTGCATGTTTATAGGGTGGCATGGGTGGCTTGTGCGTAAAGTGTTGCCTGTCGATCACCACTGTGGCCCGGGTTCGATTCCCGGCTCGGACCACATTTGTTGATTCTCGCCTGTGCCACGAGGGTTTTTCTACGGGCTTTCCGGTTATCCTCCTGCAAAAATCAACACTTTCGATGTCTGGCTGTGTTCCGTGGTCAAACATGGGTCGTGCATGTATGGCGGCTGCCAAAGGTACCTTTATGTGCCTTCGGCTAGACCACATTGTAGCTGCATTCTTCACAATAGGCCCCTCTCAAAGGATGCCATCTTTGTAGAAAATTACAAAGTTAAGTCTGCGTATTCAACACCATCAGGTGCATATACGTACGTGTTCTACATAGCCTCCGATGACTGACACACAAAGGGAGAACAATAGATCCTTTCAGTCCTCGAGTGTTGGGTCTGTTGTTGAAAACGGTCCCCTGAAGAAGGTTTGTGTGCTTAATCTATTGGAGAGTGTTATATAGCAGGGACAAAGGGAAACACAAAGCCTCAGGAGTATAGTAAAACAAGAGTGCATGCGCCATTGTGTAAAATGTTCTAAACCTATGCGCGTGTTTCTCAAAGTTTCTTCGAAATATAATGCAGCTGATGCGCGTCACGAAAATTTGACGCACAAAATGCCAATGCATTTGGCAATCTGTAGGGTGGTTAGCCCCCCACCCAATTTTTATAATTACTCTCTAAATATACATGTACCCCAAATATTGTTTAAAAAAGTTACAGTTAACTTATGATTGCAGTAAAATTAACCAACTGTTAAAATTGCAGGTTACATTTATTATTCCACAAACTATATAGTTTTCCAGCACAAGCCCTGTTTCATGCTAAAATTTTACAATTTCTTGCATTCCTGAATAACTTGTGTATGATTGCAAACATCTTATCAAAGAGTGTAACCTTCTAATTTTGTTTAGATTTTGGAATTCTGAACTGCCAGACCACTGCTCTGGTCACTAGTACTCCACAGCAGGAAAGAAAGGAAACCAGTCAATCCCCACAGACATCTATGGAGACAACGATTGAGCCAACATCGACAGGGTCGACCACTGTCATGGCAACAACACTGCCAACAACCACTGCCGAGACCAACGAGGGCAACTCAACCTGGGAGATTGTAGTAGGTAGGAATATATTGCAATTTCAGTTGTTTAGCCTAAGCTGATTCAGTATTCGCTCGTACTCAATGCCCCAACAGGCCGCTGGACAGGCTATTTTTTTCTAGATCTATGCATTATGTAATTCCTTGAAGCCTTCATTGGATAGAATTTGTTTAAACAATAACACTGGTCAACCTAGCCCAACTGCCTCTGGCTGTACACTATCACAAGGGCTTGAAGTACATTGCTCCCCTAAACACTGAAAAGTGATGTAGCGATTTAGCTACCGATTTTGATCGAGATTATCTTCTCATCCAGGACAGAAATTTCCAAAGTTAGCGTTCCTAGTCATAGAGGAAGATGTATTTGAAAGCACGTTCCTAATACCTAGAAATCTTCATCCATCTGGCCACAAAAATGATGATCAGTCTTCAGCTCCCACGAATATTGTCCAAAAAATGTGTCTACAATCTACATGGGATTTCCAAATGTCGGACACGTTGTAATGTATGCATTATGCAGGCACCCTTGGGCAAAGTTATGAATATGTGCATTGTATAGTTCATGACCTCGTGTTACGTCGGGCGCACGGCGCGGCTGACCATACAAACACAAGGTCATGAACTGATGGATGAGGATTTCTAGATAAAGGACCGTGTTTTCGAACAGGTATGAGTTCCTCTATGACTAGGTACCCTAACTTTGGACATTTTTGTCCTGGTAGCAAAATCGCTACATCACTTTTCAGTGTGTAGGGGAGCAATGCCACTCTGATCGTATTACAAGAGCTTGGGATAGTGTACGGCCAGAGGCAGTTGGGCTAGGGTCAACCCTTCGACCTGTGCATGATATGTACGCACAGAAGGTACGTGTAATGGATGTGGCAGTTAGTTTCTCACAATGCTTTGCGCGCCTGGGTTTTTTCACAAAATTTTGTGAAGATTAGCCCTTCCAAGCACCCTGTTGACAGGCGACCAAAGATTCGGTATTGCAACTTAATGTAGGAGGTCAAAGGTCATTTGGGATAATCATAAATAAACCAAACCCTGCATTTGTTTTTGAAGGTTCTTTCTGCCATTGTCATCTGTTAGTGCCATATTTAACGTGTACTACGCGTGCATCATCTCTATCTCGAATGACCTTTGACCTCAACTACATCAATGAGCGGGAACGAAATGCCAAATTTACTTATTTAGGATGAAAGTGGAATCAGAGGTCGTTTATAACACAAGAATCTAACCTGTGGCATCTGACATTGTACATGTATATACTAGTGAAGTTCCTGTTCTAAATGTGCTTGTTCTGATCGGGCAAATTGCTTGGACTGCGGTAGACCCACAACGTGGCGGTATAGAGTGCAGTTCCCCCTAAAACAGTGCGCCGAATCTACACCTCACCGTTCCGCGATGCTCCCCTTCAAAAAATGGCTGAGGCCCACCTCACCATCTTCCTCCTTCAAGAAATTGTCAAGCCCATTCAGCCAACCACTTTTTCCACTTGTGTTAACCTGACATAGGTGCACGGTATAGTGCAGCTCCCGTTCAAAATGTGCAGCAGTGTGTGGCAGGTCTGTATACATGTTTGTATGATCTAGGCCTCCGAAAATGCTGCTTATTTTGCAGCTTTTTTGAAAACCCATCATCCAAACAACTTCAAACTTGGCACTGCACATTCACAATTTTCAACTTCATACAGTGCCCGGTTCTGGAGATAATCGGAGTACAGACACACAGAGATTTCCGGAATTATAGTAAGATCTAACATGCAAAGTGAAAGTAACAGCATTGATTCAACACATATTTGAATTGAACTTTTGTTGACTGATGGTTTCACAATCTCACCAAGTCAACTTGTCTTTGACATTTGCCTCCTTTTTTTCAAACAGGAGTGAGCGTTGGAGGTACCATTCTTGGGATTGCAGTCCTGTATGCAGTGTTGAAATGTTGTCGCTGTAAAAAAGGTGATATTGATGACTGAGTAATTTCCAATATCTTAATTGACACCATTGTTTTGTTGTTGTTCTGAGATATGTGTGTTGCATCCAATGAAAGTTCAACCCTGGGAACTTGTGGCATGCTGCAGATTGTCTTTCACTTGCCCCTTGAGGGAAGATGCAAAATAGTGCTTGAGTCATGTGCTTTTTTTGCTTTGTTTTGTGGGAAATCTAACATACGTCCAACCACATGATGTACATGTACAAGGTCGTTGAGGTGGTGGTACCTTAGTTTGGTTTGTAATAGTTTTTTTTACCCATTGGATGTCACATATTAGGTGATGTATCACATTCACTTTTTCAACAGCAGCTCATTAAAGTGTCTGACATGTACGTCCAAATGTACCGAACTGCCCTTGGCTTTTTTTTTTTCTAGATAGAAAGTTGTGAAAACAACATGCGCATAACCATCTAATAAGTGCAAAAGAAGTGAGAGTAGGCTGAATTCAACATGTGTGTGTGTGCTTTTATTTTCTTTTACGTTATTTACTAGCACCCGGGGGTACACAAGAAACACAGCCCCCAGAGGAGACTCATCCGATGACAGGCCGCCCTCAGGAATCATCTGTCTAGGTTTGATCAAATCTGTCTCAACTGTACTAAGATGAGGAAGACAGCGTGGGATACCACCCAACTTTCTGCCAAATTACGTACTGTAAAAATAAGTTGACAGTTTTAACAAAGGGATTATGGTGGACAAAATATTGTGAATAAAATAAGAAAAGTTAATGTTCCTTCAATTCATTGTGCAGCTGTGCGCCAAACAACTCAGTAAATCATTAGAAACAAAATACCAAAATAAAAAGCTTGCTTGGATTTTACACAGTTTATGCATACCTGGAAGTTGACATAATTCTTTATGATGTTAACAGTTTTTGGTTCTTGGTAAATGCCTGTCTTACTGAAGCATGTACATGTAGGTCTAGAATTCATGCGCAGTAGATATAGATTGCGCAATGTTCATGTTTCTGTTACAAGTGTAGTAGGCTCTAATAACACCTAGCCACTATCACAGCATTGTGCTTAAAAAGCACAGTGCAGCGATATATGCCTACCTGAAGGTAAAAAGGAATAATGCTTGAAATTAGGGTTGTCCTGAATATTTCGAATATTCGATCATCGACTGAATATTCGAATAGCTTTTTGCCACTTATTTATGAATATTTGGAAAAAAAAATACTATGCATATACACACACTACTGTGATGTTACTCTATCATAAAGTTGCAGCGTTTCATTGTCACGTGCTACTTTTTTGGCTGACGGTAACTTTTTTGCTGACGGCTGTTCGTTGGTTCTATTCTTTTAGCAGGTAAAGCCACGGACAATTTATAGTACTTATTGAGTGTGTTCGATAACTTCTCCTAATAATCAAACAGCGTTCGATTTACCTCTCACATGACTTCTCGCGCTTACTCAAGCCTGGCCCAAGTAACCGACTCGCTGAGCCAGTTACTTGGTTAAGTATCCCATAAGGCCATGCAATTAAATATGGCTGCCAACGTGGCGTGCGCCTCAGGCCGTGTCCGAAACGGGCTTCCAGAGCTACGGCTACGTCTATTGTCAGCGCGTCCCCGCGTATTTTCAATGGGCGCGGACCTATACCTAGCTCTAGACAACATGATTGGGATGCAGCCTCATTGTCATGTCAAAGTTCAACTTTCCAGCCCTTGCACGAAACTTTACCTGAAACTGTTTGTTTATTTAGCTCCACTGCGCATGTCTGTCATCACGCGAGGAGCCAGGCACGAGTAAGCGGGGGAAGTAATCGAACGCACTCTATAAACTGACATACAGATCCGTATCATTTGATTGGTGGAACTCACATCACGTGACATTCATTATTCACTGCCATTCACGCCAGGGCTCAAAAAGTCCCATTCGCCCATGGGGAATGGGATTTACTAGATCATCCTTGTTCCATGGCGCAGTATTTGTGTGCAAATGCATGCTGGTGTGCACATTGAGCGACGCAGTGGCAGCTGGCAGTTTCGAATATTTGAATATTCAGTCAAACACAGTTTCGAGTAATCTAATCTTAATTATTCGAAAATGGACAGCCCTACTTGAAATATGTAAATAAAGTTTATGCAAATAGGACAACCTAGTAGAAAAAAGGTTGCCCAATATTGTTTAATCCCATCTCAGGGCCCTTACGCTGATTTTTTTTTTTAATTAATTTTTAAATCTTGTTTTTTTTAATGTTGTTGACGAGTATGGTGACCCACTCAACAAATGAATGATGGGAATCAACAGGAACTGCCAACAATTTTACATTCATTCAAATCTTAAAAGTTGCGTTCCCTGTGCTCTTCAACAATTTTTTTTTCTATTAATAAATTTTCATCTTATTATGTTTTATTTCAACCAATTAACCTCTTGTTTTCCCCTTTTTTTGGATGTCCGCCAAAAAGGTTTTGTTTTGCTAGAAAAACAGCAGTGCAGAAAATTAATCTCTATTTCTTCACAATGAAATTTAACTGGTGGAAAAAACACACTTCTTTGAAACCTCGTTTTGTGGCATCCAGTCGCAACCTTTTTACTTGACCACTACCAGTAGGTCCTGCGATGGGATTAAGTGGTACGATTGAGTCAGGTTTTGTCGGCTCAATTACAAATTGAAGGGTATGTCTTGCAAGTTATGATGACAATATATGAAGGGATTGTCTTGCTAGTTACAATGTATGATGACAAGATCAGATGTGATGTCTTGGATCATGTAGAAGGGAAACAGCTACAGGGGTCTATTTGATGGTAGCGTCAGTTTCTTGCAAGCTGTTCTCCTTCGTGTTGTAATTTTGTTAGGCAGCCTGCTATGGAATTAATAGATTCCCTTGAAGACAGAACAAGTCTTCAAGATGGAACTTTGTTGTACATGTGTATTTCTGATAGCAGACTCCCCGTGAATTTTTCTCACGGGGAAATGCTTCTCGATAGGCTTTGGTGACTCTGAATAAAAACAACAGACTACTTGTACTACTCTTTGGAAGTAATTTAGGGAGTTAATCCATCCTTGTAATGATCATGTTTTATTGAGGCAATAACCAGTATATATTAGTGGATTTGATTGAACTTCCCCCTCCCCCTATTTTCCCGAAATTGTTTTTGCTGTGGATATGTGGTGTGGTTTTGGAACAGAGTTCTGACTCGCGGGGCAGAATATAAATTAATGCCCTCCCGCACTCCCCTACAATTTGGAGTTACCCAAGCCTACAAATGTATATATCCTTTTCTCAATGTACAATACTTTTTAGCAAGTAGTAAAGAACAATCAATTTGAGCAGTTGTAGGTACTGGCTGTACAAAATTTGGATGCTAAAAAAATATGGGAATGGTTGGTAAAATGGTGGAATGAAGTTTGATCCTCTTAGTAGATAATGAGTTATTGTTTTTTTTGGCGAAGATCATTGTGTTTGTGAATGTTAAAAATTACTGGTGTTGGGGTACAAAATAAATACTGAAATTGCAAGATACAAATTCACTTGATGAACTCAGTTATTTTGTGTATTTTTTGTGTAATGTCTTGCTTATCTGTCTATCCCTGCAGTTCTCAACACGGTTAAAATTGTGGAAGTGTAAAAATAGGTTTTATTAACCCATTTTTGTCAAAAAATCCATTATTTTTTGCCCCAAATCGTCCAAATAATATGTGTCAAAGTTCCTTTTGCATCAACTACCCTTTCTCTACATTGTTTGGGAAAATAACATTTTTTTCCCACATTTACCAAAACTGAACTTTTACTTTTTTTAAAACTAATTTTCAGAAGAAAAATTAAATTTGCTTGAAAAAAGCAGGGCAAGTGCTTAAAGGCCCTAAAGACACAAGTCTATCTCGCCAGGGAAAGATTCCCATATCTGGCCATCAGTTTGCACCCTGTGCACAAACCCTACGAGACTGGTCTGAAAAAAAAAGTTTTCCAAGTAAATACTTCAATATTTTCTCTGCTAAATTTGACTTTTTAGGACATATCACTTTCTGATGGCTGTCTTGGGTCTCGGGGGGAAAAACTGGTGATGGCCATATACATGTATATGGGAATCTTTTCCAGGCCAGATTTGCTATTTAAAACCAAAATTGCGTTGAAAATGTGGGGGAAGTTATATTTTTTTTCGAAGTAAATAGATTATTTTTGAAAAAAAAGGTGTCTGATGACCATTACATTTATACAGGCCTCTGCATTGTTTGGGAAAAAATTTCAATTTCTGGCAGAAGTTTTGATATTGAAAAATGTTACAGAATAATGTTAATGACACAAGACAAATTAACAGAAAGTAAAAGAGGGTATTTTAAGGTTTAAATCGATGTATGCATTGATCATCTGCGAGACTTCTGAGTTTAAAATTTAATTGGGGGATTTTATCATTGGTGCCGTAGGCTACATGGTGTGCATGTAAAAACAAAAATAGCGGGTCAAATCCTGATGCACAGCGCCCTCTAATAATAAAAGTAGTCAGATCCCCTTCTTGGGAATTGATCACTGCGGTTTATTGCGTATGTCTACAGGGAATCCAACACACTTACAATCGTTACGCGCGGAAAATATAATTTCCCGCGAAAGTTAGCGAGTGATTGTCAACAACACAAGTACACCGTACACGTCCTTTATTGGTAGGCCTGTTTGTATCTGAATGAATGGTGCACTTATCATCGGCAGCAGGGGATTTGTTTTCAAGCGGAGGGTTTGTGATATATTCGTCCGGCTTCAGTCGCATCTATCGCAGTACAGAAGTACACGTTTCGCGTTACAATCGCAGTGGCCTTGCACTTGCAGCTGCAGACGACGAAGTCTAACTGAAATTGAAGCGAGTTCGTTTGTTTTCCGGAACGCTCCTATCCTCACGTTTAACATGGCTCAGCGATCGATAATGTAAGAAATGGCATATGAATTAGGCCTAATAGTAATATGATAACTGTTTTCACATTGCCACACTTGATACAATTCATTTTAATAAACAATTTAATTTAGGGCCTACATGATTTTAATCCTGTTTTACGTAACCTATATCATGCCTGTGGGGGTCAGACAAGTCGACCGTTGAGACAACTCGACTCGGGACAAGTCGACCGTTGAGACAAGTCGACCGTTGAGACAACTCGACCGTATGTGCGATAAATGGAAAGACAAGTCGACCGTTGAGACAAGTCGCCTCGCATGTTTTGGGCGTAGTTTCGGGGATAGTACCGGGGATTTTGACGGCGGCTGATCGCCGTTTGGGAGTGATGACACATGAGTTTTTATTTTTGCATATAACAGAGCCGATATAGCGCAGCGTGATTGTCCGTGCACATCGTTCGTTTTTTTCAAGGCCACGTGCGCGCATCCCCGGTCAACTTGTCCGTACCGTGCACGGTGACATCGTTTTTGCCAGCCCTGTGCGCCCATTTGCCGCGCCGGTCGACGTGCCCGCGTGCCGGGCCCGGCCCGGTCCTCGCGGGCGGGCGGGGCGCACCGGCCCGACGCGACGCCCTCTGTACATCGAGTATGCCCGCGCCGCACCCGTGATCGGTCTTGCCACAGATTTGTGCAACTTTTTCTGCTCCACGTGTATTCATTTCCATTAAGTCGAGCAGTCTCAACGGTCGAGTTGTCCCGAGTCGAGTTGTCTCAACGGTCGACCTGTCTCAACGGTCGAGTTGTCTCAACGGTCGAGTAGTCTCAACGGTCGACTTGTCCCGAGTCGAGTTGTCTCAACGGTCGACTTGTCTGACATTCATGCCTGTACTGCTATCATGCCTGTATTGGCATGACAGGGCCAAGTTTTACCTGGCTTAGATAAGGAGTAAGAGTGACGGTGTAAGATTGCTGGCAGTGGTTGTACTGTTGTATGCAAAGGTTGAAATGGACTAGACTTTGTAAAGAGCTTTGTGTGGAAAGAGATGGTGGCCACGTTGAAGGCAGTCATTGGAATATGAGCATGATGAGGGGTTATTATGTCAACAATAAAAGCACTTAGGCCTACTTTATTCTTAAATCATTGTGTCATAATTCAATTATTGAATAAATTGTTAAAAAACAAAGGATGTCTTCTTTCGGTAATCCTTACTTTTAGGACACCTCTATTTTTTACGAGTTCTGTTTAAAACTGACTTTTGCAGATGTCTGTCCAGTACCAAGGACTTTTGCAGGCTAAAGCAGTTTTTTTCTTCATATAAACTCATGTTAGTTG